GGGTTTAGGGTTCAGGGTTAGGTTTCTTCTATGATTTAAGGTTACGGAGTTTCGCGTTTGGGGCTTTAGGGTAACCAGGGTTTGGGGTTGGGCTTTCTTAGGAGTGCAGGAGCTCTGTGTGGGCATTTTGTTGGAGGCCAGTCCTGCATTTTAGACCCTAAGCCCATAAACCCTAACCCCCCCCCCCCCCCGTAAGTGTCCCAATTAGTTCATTTGTTCAAGCCCATGGCCTGCTGTTTGGCTGGGAAGCCAGCAACGCCTCTGGAGATCTATGCGAAATCGCTGCCCGATGATGCAGACGCCGCCGGACATGACATGACCCACACTTCTTCTAAAGAGTAGTAGGGTTTCGCGATTTATCTCACACAGACATTGCGTTTGTGCACGCAGGCATAATACGTACAATTGTGTTTGATGTCTTGGCAACCGTCCTGCCTAATCCTATAAGTTTTTAGTTTCGGGTTGGGGCCCCTAGTGGCAGCTTGAGATAGTTGTTGTTTTCACTTCCGACCTTACAGACACCGGTGCAAAATTAGCAAGTTATAGGGTTGGTCCACGAAGCTAGCGACTGGCCAGAAATCCAGAAGAGTAGGGTTTAGGGTTTAGGGTTTAGGGTTTAGTGTGATTAATAGTGGTGGTGCTGGTGGAGCAGCCAGCACTGCTGCTGCTCCTTCCATGTTTCCTCCGCTCTTCCTCTCTGACTACTCCCCCTAGTACTGCTTCGGATACTCTCGAAGAGGGGAGTTTTCCACTACCTCAAGTGGTGTGGTTGTCCACCATGGGCTGGCTCAGGCTTTTCCAGCTCTCTTCCCAATGTACACCGTCAGTTCAGACATCTTGCTGAGCATGACGAAGATCGAGCCGCATGAGAAGTTGAAGGCTGGATGCTAGGGGATTGTATTCAGGGTATTATAAAGAGTCTGTTGCCCTAAGGGTCCCTGTACCCATAGCGTATATGGTTCGGCCTCAAAGTAGCGAGTAGTCTCTACATAGGTACTTCGGGTCGAAGTACATACTTCATGAACACATGAACCCTTTAGGATAGGCGCCTGTAGGATTTAGTTTAGGGTTTTGGAGAATTCGAGTTAGGCTTTGGGGGATAGATCTTGAGATCTTGGAGGCCTTCAAGGATGTACCTATAGTCTCCAACCCGGTTTTTGGCTAGATAAAGACAAGGCAGCGAAAAAAACACAGTACCCTTCACCCTAAATAATGGCATTGCCGGGTTCGGGGTTTACGGCTTATGGTAATATAGGGGCCAAATACTTTCCAGTTCTATTTTTGGTGTTCCTTCTTAAAATGTAGCATGGTGTACCCGCCAAAGCCCTGCTGAAATAATTCAGGCCCCCATATTCCGCTCTTGTCGAAGGCGCGTGGGGAGCTCGTTGCCTTCACGGACGACCTGGGGAGCGCAGCGTTCGTATCACACCAGCGGCTCCATCCTAGCTAGTTATTTAGGGTTTAGGGTTTAGGGTATAGGGTTATTTTTTGATTTCTTGTCCAGAAAGCTTGCCAGTTCGCTCTCGATATGCAGTGTTTTTTTTTTAAAGCTTGCGTAATATCTGTTTGGCTTTTTGGCCGGGGGCGGATTTTCCTTGTCAAACTGAATGGATAGCCTTGTGCAGCTTCCTTGCGAAAGCAGAATGAACAGGAACAGGTGTACTTTACCCTAAACCCCTGCACCCTAACCGTGCATTATTAATCGAGCGGGTCTAAACCCCAAACCGTAAACCTTAAACCCTAAACCCTAAACCGTTAAACCCCAAACCCTAAACCGTTAAACCC